AACATGGAAACCAAGGCAACATGGGAGTTGTCCATGGCCTGCAGCTGAATGCCACTGTCATTGCAGTCGAAGTTGCAATCTTGGACCAGATCCTTGATTGCATCGACAACCTTCTTCAGAAGATCAGCTTGAGCGAGTCGTGATTCCAACATATCTGTTTATCTGTTAGCATACCACTGATGCGTTCCCACACGAGACGTGAAGCTGTCACGCATAGATAAAAGGGTGGGGTGTTCGCTACTCGGGATGACTGACTGACTGAAAGTTTTGTTGGCAAATTGTAGCTAGATATGGACAGGGAGTATGAGCAAAGAATAAGAGAGCGAAATGGCTCGTAAAGTAAGGTGTGTTATGGTTACGAAAGGAATATGGGAGGTTGTCTGGTGGATGAAATGCAAGATGCAGATAGCAATGTGCTTTTGTCGCGAAATTGCTAGGCTGCTTTACGCTAGCTGGCAGGTGAGGAGCCACTTAACGCGTGACCATCAAACAGCCAACGCGTCGCGTTTCAGGCGGATGCTAGTGGAGAACTCAGGACTTTGATCCTACCTAAATGATAAAAAGACTTGAGGTATTTTGGTATACCGTAGCTACCTACCTAGGTACCTTACCTTAGTAGGTAAGTTGAGGACAAGTTTAGTATACTTTTTGCTGAGTTTATATACCTTAGTTATTTTAATCGCTTATTCTAGAGATCCAAAGTTCCGACTAATATACAAATTGTATCTTCTATATATCGATACAGACATATATAAGGTTATAGCTTGAGATGAATGTTAGTCCAAAAATACCTAGGCACCTAGAGACGCAAGCCCACCTCAGTTCCTGATTGAGAGGTCCTCAATCTTTTGGCCTCTATCCACACCTCAGGGCAGGTGCGAACCACAGAAGTATCTTTGTACCCAAGTAGGTTCTGAGCCTCTTGCCAGTTCTTCAAGCGACTGGATACCTTAAGGCGCCAATGGTCGTTAGAGAGAAATATGGTAATGCCAAAGTTCTGTTCAAGGTACCTTAAGAATGTATCCAGACCTTACAATGGCCTATTATGTACATAAGGGATGTAGCTATCATACATACTAGGTATGTTACCAAGAAGAAGTCCCCCCGTCATCATTTACATTGAACGAAATAAGTAGATCGGCAAATAGTAACGAATAATTTCCCAAGAGGCCAATCCGTAGCGCATATGTCTTACAGCTATCGTCCATAAGGGCACATTGGTGCGATTGTGTGTCGCCAAAAACCTGATCGCCGAGAATGATTATAGCTGGCAAATAATACAAAACCAAAATCCCCAACCCTGAACCTGAAACGCCGCAGCCATCCATGGCTTGTCTATAGAATAGTGTCGTTTATAGAGAATTGTGCGTGTCGTCGTGACGCTACCTGTGCTTGACATATTTATGTGTCTGTGGAGCTCGAAAGTGAAATTTTCATAAGTCGATAGCAAGAATAAAAAAAACCGGTTCGGTGTCGATTCAGACGATTGTTTTGTACTCGGTGAAGGCAGGAGAAGGCGATTGAAAAGTGTTGAAGATAATGATCGTGATGTTTGTTTCATAAAATCGATACCCCTACATTGACACAATCCGACCTGCTGGTGCGCTGGCACGAGTTCGAGGTCTTAGGTTAATAACTGTCTCTAGCTCCCGGAGCATACCCCTGGTTGCATCAACGTGCTGTCGGGCAAGAGCCTTTTGTTCTCGTTCTTCCCGAACCTTGACTATTCTTTCTTCTCGAGTGAGCATGCTTCGTGGTCGCGAGAGAGCAACGGCTTCAAAAACTTCTGGTGCCTCCTGTTCAGTTGAACCAGCATACTCAGAACTAGGCGGAGACTCGCCAGTCAATGCTTTGAGAGCTGCAGCAGCCCCACCATTCTCGTCCACAGTAGTCAGTCCACTAAGAGAACTAACAGGCGACAGCAGAGTACTCATGGATGAAAGCCTCTTCTCGTTTCTATCGATGCCGAGTGCCAAAGCAGCTCTGCCCTCTTCCCATGCGGTCATCAGGTCTTTCAGATCCATGCCGATGGACTCATATTGCGCCATTAGATTCGGTCCGAGCTCCGAGATGTCGTTCGAATCGTTCAGAGTTCTATCGGATTCTTCACGAAGAAGCTGCAGCTTTGCCTGTAGGCCCCTGATTCCGCTTGATAGTGAATTAAGTTTCCGAAGTTGAGCCCTCCAGCGCTCCCGCCCAGGCGTAAGGGCATTCTTTGGTGTAGGGGAAGATGGAAAAGCTGGAGAAACGTGAGTATATGGCCAATAGATGATGACTTGCATCGTATTCTTACTATCTTGCTCGCTGAGAATGCTCTGTATCCTAGCATGAGCTGTTTGAGTTGAGCTGTTCACGCTCAAAAGAGACTCTACGGCCGTCGTCCAACGAAGTAAATCATTTGCATCACTATTGGCATCCAGAGCAAGCAGTGCGCAAAGGAATAGTTTCCTTATGGTGGAGAATCGAGCAGCCAGAATTTTGAGGGTTCTCAAGGATTCGGGATCGTCCAAATCCTCATCACTTAGTCCTTGACGGGCGTCTGACATGTCGAAGTCGGTAATGTCGTATATATCATAATATTTTTCCAAGTCTGTTTGCTCCGCAAATCCGTTGACAACTGTACAGACCTGATTGTAAGAATCAAGAACCTCTTGAAAAGAATGTCTCAGGGCTTTGCGCAGCCGGACACAACGCCGGGTTTGGGTGCGGTCTTCTATACGGCTGATTGGCGGCAGGGGAGCGCTGCTATAAATTGTTCAGTGCATGTGATGGCAAGGAAAAGAAAGACCTACAGTCTGTAACCTCGAGACACTAACTCGACTTCTTGTATGAGAGAGATAGCTGCACCTGACGCACTGTCAAAGTTGTGTGAGTTTTCCACGAAAGAAGTGATTTCAGACAGCGATTGCGATCTTCGATACCGAAGCCATTGTCGTTTCATGTAAACCTGGCCAAGCAGGACGGCCGCTGCGCAAAGCACGAGAAGAAAGACCAGCCTCTTCTTGGTAACACCACTGCCAAGAACCCAACTCAGAACAACCGCGACCGCAAGAGCGGCAAGAACTGATGCCAGAATTCCCTCTGTGGACAATAGGGATTCGTCTTCGTTCGTTGATGGGCTAGGGCCCCTGTTATCTAGTTGCGACTGCCCCAGGCCCGAATGGCCACTTAAAAGCTGAGACGCAATGATTGTATATCGGAATTGTTCGAGAAATTTGGCGTTGTCAGCTCGGTCGATACTCGCAGCAACCGCAGCCTATGGCAGGTGGTTTTAGCAATCGTTGATAAGTCACACCAGTTCGAGGTGACATACTGAATATTTCCTGCTAGCAGACCGCAATGAGGAGGGCCTAGGAACTTGCAAATGAAGCCCATTAGGAGCCTTATTTCGGAATCTTGGTTTAACTAAAGGTCGGCCAGTGGGTGCGAAGGGAGATGGACTGGATGGTGGTGATGGGCTTGATCGACCAGCGGATGAATCAAGTTCGGGCGTTACTGCACCGGGAGCCCAGTCAGCCTGGGGCTCATCTCCCCCATCTTGAGATATGTTAGTACACAAAAGGGAAAGCGATGTCGCGCGCAAGGGAGAATGATGCTTGCTCACCTCTGAGGTAGTCGGCGAACGGAGTCTCCTCATACACCACGGGCTCCATCTAGCTTCTTTGTGACGTCGTCGGTGTCGATAAGCAGTCACACAGAGCCATCGAGCGGTGCTGATCGATGCAGAGTGAAAGTGTCGTATGTGATATCTTGTTCAGATGTTGATTAAACCAGTACGAGTATGGTGTTCAGGAGAAGCCGACAAACAATATGGACGGATTACGGAGTATTAGACGAGCGCGAGCAGGGACAGGCTGGTTCGTTGATGTTACCAATTAGGGGAGCTCCACGCTCACCGTAGTGGCCAGCCGGAGCCGCGGCAGGGATCGTGTGGCTATCAAGGGCCTGTCAAAAGCGCCGCAACCTTGACGGAAAGTATACGGACCCCGGAAGCTTGAAGTTTAGCCTTGTCAGATGCAATTTCGAGCCGAACTGATACTATTTATGCAGTCAACTGCGGAAGACGTAATAAGGTGCAGGAAGACGCAGGGACGGCCCAAGACACGGCGTATCAGCATCTGACAAAAGGGGCTCCAGAGCTTCTGAACACCTGTTCGCCCCAAGAGGAAGAAGATAACCAAGGCCCCAAATCCTGAAGTGACAAAAACAAAGCCGGTACCTGCTGGTGGGTAGTCAGATAAGTCGAAGATGAACTCTAGATGCCTTTATCAGTGTATTTTCCAGTGTCCCCTGCGCGCAACAAAAACTTCAGCCATTAATAAGCTACGATCCAAAATTCTAAAGGGCTGCTAAGATACACTAAGCTTAATTCTTTCTGTGACCCATTGTGCCTTTGAATAGAGATCCTTGGTTTTCTTGCCTCCTCTGGTACCCTATTCGGAGTCTCAAGTCTTGTTGCTCACCAAGGGGATGCAATAAAACTTAGGACTTCTATCCTAGGTGACAAAAAGCCTTAGGTAAACTTAACATAATTTAGTATAGATTTACGGAGTAGAGGATCTTAGACTACGTACTTTTAGCACCTTATTAACTTAACGTCAGAAGTCTTCTTGCACCCTGGGGCTCACCTCCCTCAAGCCCTTATGGCAGAGCCAGGAGACGCTAGATGCCGCCAGGGACTCATTTGTGGAGCAAGACAGACAGACAGATAATGATTGATAGGTAGCGCCTGAGGCATTCACTTAGCTAAGGTAGCTAACGGAACTCACAGAACCTGGGGTAAAATCATTTTTCTGGTTGGCCAGTTGTGTACGAGCCAAATGCTTCGTATTGAAAGTTCTATCACCCACGCACCTTTACCTAGTACTTACCTTAACTGGGTACCTTACCTTCCAAGAAACCAGCTCTACGTGGATTTTGCACAGAGCATACCACGATGCTGACATGAACCGAATTTCGATACTGCGTCCCGTGATTCGAGGAATTCAAATGCTTCGACGATGCACTATCTCACACTCTACCGTCGCACGGGTGTGTGCCCTGTTGCAGGCTCACCAAGTGGCATCTGGATCTCCAATACCGTATTAGCCCAAGCCACGGAGCGATTCCAACGCTTCGATCCGATTCCTAGTCGATGCTTGAGCTCATATGCCGGGCCTCTCGAGAGCCGACGTCGTTTGGGCAAGCGACATATCGTTGCCGTTGTACCCAATTCTCATGCTATACCCTTTCCTTGGAGGATCGAAGTGCCCGTTAATCTCGGCGAGTGGACTTGGGAGGCTCCTGTTGCACCGAATGATCGGCACAAAAAAAAGATTGGTCTGTTCGAACGCTTTCTCAGGAACCTCGAGGACATGGGGCACGAAGAAAATATCAACCTTGCAATTGCTACACCACCGCCGGAGGCGGTTATGGTGCCCGCAGCATTGACTCTCACATCAATAGAACAGGCCCGAGGTGATATGAACGAACGGCTCGCCAAATTTTACAAGTTCGAAGATGAAAACGCATTGAAGAAGATTTGCGAGCCCTATGTTATTCAGATCTTGAAGATGGTCGAGGAAAGGACGATTTCCAACGACGACCTTGTCCAAGCTCTCGATCCGTTCGACAATCATCTCAAGCAACAAGCACCGGCCAAACTTCTCGATGATAGGGTTGCCAAACAATGGGTCTACATAATCCATGCTATGTATCGCACCCGGACGACCTCAGCTGAAGATTTGTACGGGAGCCATGTTTGGCACCAGTGCCTCAAAACAATATTGCATATGGCACCCCAGCCCTCTACGTTCCATTGCCTTGAGGAGCTTCTGAGACTTGTTTCCTTATACGAAAAGATACAACTAGATACAAATGACTACCTCGACCTAATGCATAGTCATAATCGACTGGAAATGGCACAGGGCGAACAATACCCTACACGACCTATATCATTCCGCCTCTTACGCCGCAGTATGCAGTTGACTCGATTAATTTCTGCCCAAGGTCTGACACAAATGGAGACATTTGAAGCTTTGACTAAACATTGCTTTCAGTGCGTCGACGAGACCACAGACCAACGTACGTTAGCTTTTCAGCTATTGTTGAAATTGGCGGCAGTCCCAGGTCTCAAGGCAGGCGAATTTTCTACCCTCGCCAGCAATGTTCACAGCATCCAAGATTGGGTAGAATCAGAAGTTTGGCAATTCATGGCTATTCGTCTTATGAGCACGACACAGGGAGGAATACGGCCTGAGCAATTATACAAATGGATTACCGGGCCTACACAGTTGCACCGCTGGGCAGCAATGCTTCAAGACTCTCGTCATAGTGAAACCAAGAAACGCATAGCGAACTTGAGGGCGCTTACACATACCAGTGAAACCTTTGGACACCTTGATACATTGATCAAGTCGGTTCGGCTGGTGAACGATCGTCATGGGGTTATACAAGATATGATGAAGATGGAGAGGGACCCGTATTGTGCCGTTATGATTTGGGAATCTTATAACGCAGGGGCGTCAGTTAAGCATAAATTCCCTTGGTACATGTGGGCACGACATGCAGAAGCTATAGTAACGCATCCGGACCTACCACCAGACCTCATCTGGCAGATCGCCGAATTTTGCTCATCAAAGACTGCTACCCGGCTTAAAGCCCCCATCGTACGGAACCTTGTGTTTGTGATGGACTTCCTGGAAGAGATTTGTCAGTTCTACATGAAGAAACCCGGCCTGACAGCCCGACAGCGCCTTAGATATATCGAAACCGCTATCAACTGGGGCAAAAGGACTGGGCAGCATATGTCGCAGCCTGCGATACAAACTCTAGCTGAGATTCTGCTTCAGGACCTCGAAGAGGGTAAAATGGGCCGCAAGACACGGCTTCGTTATTTGGTCAAAAAGATTGGGCATTTCTATGGAAAAGAGCAGGCAGCGAAGGTTGCCACCTCACTCGATGGGTGGAGATGGACCAACAGGCGCAGAGGGGGGCAGTTACCACGGCTACCAGCGCCAATGAGGGATGCGCATTTCAAATCAGAAGAACCAATCAAGGAGCTCTCAAACTATTCAGTGCAACCAACTCTGGAAGAGAGCCTGAAAAGACCCCTTCGGCAAGCATGGGAGCAGACCCTGCCACCCATCGGACGAGTTAGGTACGACATCGAGAGCAAGGATTCTCGAGACGAGGACGACAATGGGGTGGGAGATGAACGTACTTTGGAATCTATCATGAGGGCTCAACGACGAAAGAAAGAGGCCAACTCTGGGATAGGTTCAAGCTTCTAGGTAATGCATCTCGCGGTTTATGTCAGCACATAATTTGGTATTTGGCAGAACTCATAAGTCCGAAGAATAGAGCAACGAATAGAATCGCCCTTGCGGCAGTAGATAGCTTTTGATACACATGCCCGGCAATCTTGTTGAGGATAATAGCTAATTTGGATCTATGTGCTGCAAGGCAACTTGCAAGAACAAATCAAAAGGTGTCTACGGAGGAGGAAAACCCAGGACCTTGATCCTGAATGACATAAAAAGACTTATTAGTTGACTTAGCATAAGTTTAGGACACTTTTTGCGAAGTTTATTTTGATGCCCTATATTATTATGTCTGATGTTTCCCTTCTCCCCGAGGGGTGTATCAGACTATTGACGAAGAAATCATGAGACTGTGTCATTCTTAAAGCTAATTTACAAAGAAATTCAATAGATACTGTAAGTCTTGAGCGTCCATACATCAAATGTCATTACAGACACAAATAAATAGCAAAAGAAAAGCGACAAAATATCGTAAGACGTAAAATCGAAGATTGAACTACCCTTGGTCAACCCAAGCATGACGTGAAAAGCAGACACGAAAAGCAAAACACAAAACATCAACATAAAACATCAACATAAAACATCAACATAAAACTGGAAACGTGAGGCCCTTTCCCCTTCATCCAGACCAGAAACAAACAAAGGAAATCCTTGCTAGTAATGCGATTGTCCCCAGATCCCAAAGACCAAAACACCGCCTATATCCTTTTCCCAAGTGGTATCTTCCCATATCCTGTATCCCTTAATCTACATAATCTACTTCAGTTGGACCCATTGTCTCAGTCACAAGACTAATATGACTCCGAGCGCCGATGGAAGTGCTTCCACCATCACTTGCGCCACCAAACAGACCCTTGGAGCGGGGCACAAGAACCTGTGCAGGGCATACCACTATCTCTTCGTCGCCTTTTCCATTATCATCCCCCTTTTTGACGACAAGGGGGAAAAGCACAACCCGAACGATGGCACCTTGTGCCTCAAGGTCTTCATTTGAGGTTGTGATGCTGCCGCTTCGTTCGTTCATCATTGATGCGTTGAACTGAACTGTCGCGGTAAGTTCACCGTCCGCGTCGTATTCAGGGCGCAAAGGCGGCAGCATCATATATTCAGCCTTTTGCGTCCGCATCTCGATCGAGAGACCAACGGCCTCTCTCATGACACGCCGTAGCTGAGATTGAATTTGATCTTCCAAGTTCGACGGTGGTGGAAGGATCTTACACAATGTTTGGAGGATGGCCTGAACAACGGCCTCTGTGTCCAAATCACGTTGGCGCTTGAAACTTTCGCGCTTCGCCAGTAAAGTCAAGGTAACGGCGCGCCACTGGCGTACCGCTTCGATGGGGCCGACTTCGGTCAGCAGCTTCTCCAGTGACTTGAGCTTCTGTCGCTGCTCTCTGTCCATACCAAAAAGATATCGAGTGAAGACAAATTCCCAAACCATGTTCATGGTCATGGACATGAAGATATCGCGTCTCTTTACCCGGTCCCGGAGATAAACGTCGACATCGGATCCATCAAGTACGGCGTTATCGAGTCGATCAATTGTCTTCTCATCATTGATCTCGCTTGTTAAGCGGCAGGCGCGCATATCAGAGAATTTAGAGAACCGAAGCACCCATTGCTGAACATGGGAACAAAGTTGTTGGCAACGATGGTCAAAATGATCCTCATCGCGGATGTTAAGAAAGTGATCGTTGCCAGCCTTAGCTTCTAAAATCTGGCGCTGAAGGTCACGAATTTTCTCCTTAGCAGAATCAAGTTTGGCGCGAAGCTCGGCAATTTCTGCGTCCTTTGCCTCAAGAGACTGTTCAGTGTTGCCTTTTTCGCGTCGAGCTTCCTCGAGCTCACGTGCGACAGCGGCATTGCGACTCTCAAGATCAGTTACACGGCCATTGTCTTTGCTTGCAAGCTCGGCGTTGGCGCTTGCAAGACCGTCATTGACTTCTGAAAGTCTAGAGACTTCGTTCTGAAGAAATTGTAATGATTGCTTGAGATTGTCGATTTCGGCATCGCGATCGGCTAAACTGCTGGCGGCTCGTTGACTGAGGTTCGTCTCAGCCATAGCGCGGGCATCGGTGAGCATTCGGTTCTCGGCCATTAGCTGCTCGACCTTATTCTCGAGTTCAAGGACCTGCATGCTTTGTCGGCGGCGCATGCTGTGTGGTCGGGTTGGTGATCGGGGTGAGCCGATGCGACCCTCGCCAAAGCCATCCTTTGTTGTTGTTAGTGCCATATTACATTAGAATAAAAGTTACTGATTGACTTACATAGACGTCGGCCATGTCCTTGGCACGGGCGCGACCCTCATTTGCGACAGGCGTGGAACTGACGGGTGCGGCGGTGGTAGTGTTTTGTTGACGAAGAGCCCGCAAATCACTGCTCATTCGCTTGTCAACACGGCGGAGCGGCGGTGTGGAGGTGCCTGACGAGCGGTTGATGCCTGGGCTCTCAGGCCTCAACCTAAGCGGCTCCGGGGTCCGACGACGAGAGAGGCTGGTGTTAGAGACAGTTCGACGCCCTGAACCCTCGAGACGAGGTGTTGACCGACGAGAAGGAGTGGCATTGTCTGAAGCACTTCTCTGACCAGAAACTGACGGTGAAAACGGGTTGGGACTCGTAGTCGGAATTGGAATTGGTGTTGAAAGCTCAGGTCCTCGTAGGGCTGCCGCTAAGCCCGCACCCGCTGCAACGGCGGCGACTGCCGTGCCAGCTGGAGTTAGAGCCCCATATTGTTTCTTTTTTTCTGGCTCCGGTGTTGGTCCAGGTGCTGCAGGCTCTCGCAACACCGGCGTACCTCGCGGAGATCGACGAAGTCTTCGCTCGCTCGGCGGATCGGGAGTTTGCAACACCGCGCGGTCTGCAACTGGCTGTATCTGATTTTCCCTTTCAGCCCAGTCTTCGGTATGTACTCCACTGTCGCGTGAAGCCTCATGACTAGCAGGTTTGCTTCGCCTCAGAGTTGCTAAATCCCCTCCGAATCCGCTGTCACGATGTGCCTCTTCACTCAAGCGTCTACTTCGTCTCTGGAAGCTCGATGCGTCGCCAACAGGAGCGCTGTCGCGTTTGGCTTTTGGTGTTGAAAACGCATCCTTGGCTGGCTCAACTTCGGCCTCGGGAACCTCTGGGACTGGCTCTAAGAGTCTGCTTGGCGATCGGCGTAGATCACTAATATCCGATTCCGATCCCACCAGTGGTGCAAATATCTTGCTATCCTCTCGTAACAGACCACTCTTGGGCTCCTCAACGTCAGATCCACGACGAAGAAGAGGCTGAGGGGAGCTTCTCAATCGCTCCAATTCTCCTTTGCCAAGCACCGGACTTTCCATCGTGTCTGAAGTTTCAGCACATAATTGCCGCGAAGTTGAATTGTGCTCTTTCTTCGGGTTTGTTGAAGGACCTTTTGATGTGTCAAGAACTTCCGATGTTCCCTCGTAGCTCTCCGAGCGCCTACTCTTTCCTGGCGCATCGAACAACGTCTCGTGAACAGACGATGTGGCATTGTTTGTCTTTTTCGAAGCTTTTGGTTTTCTCTCTGCTGGTCCGCTCTTGTCTTTAGCATCTGTAGCAATGTCATGATGCCTTTCCTTGTGGTCAGCACTACCACTAGCGAGGTCTTTTTCTGGTATCTTCCTCCTCGCATCCTGAACTTCTCGGTGCGCTGGGGTTTCTGCCTGTACCCTTTTGTCAATATCTTTCGCATGTAACTTGGTGTCATTTGAGTCTCTTGTTGCTGCTTTCCCATCATTCTGCGATTCCTTATTCCCTTCTTCCAGTGCCTCATCCCTGCTTTCGGGCTTCTTTTCTTCTTGTCTTGCGCCTTTATTCTTGTCGCCCTCTGTCCAATCCCCAAACATGGCAGAGCTGAACGTTGCGGCGGTGGCTGCAATCATTCCAGCAAAAGTCGATGTACTGGGCTTGCTGGATTTATGCAGGCCTGGTTCATATTTCGGAAAGTCCGAGATGGCGGCTGTAGCTTCTGGGGAGCGTACAAGCTGATCCGTAGGTTCTTCTAAGGCTTGTGGGTTCGCATCAGGAGATCCTTTCGGAAATATGGAAGTCGACTCGGATTTTCTCAAGACCCTCTTCCGCTCTTTCGCATCCAAGGTTTGTGGTGATGATGATCTGCCAGTCTCTTTCAGCTGTGTGGCCTCATTTGCAAAAGAGAACTGGGCATCTCGATCAATGGAAGGTGCATGTTCCGAAGAGACTGATGGTCCAGCAGATCTCGCTCCCAACCCTACTTTCTGGGCTTTCTTCATTCCTTTCTTCAAAAACTTGTCAATAGATTTGATGTTAGGCGGCTCTGTCGCTGTCGCTGTCAAATTTGATGGCACATTAGAGGCACTGCTTGTCTCTTCGGAGGCCATGCCTCTAGAGGGTGCATATCCACTCGATTTTGTCTCCTCCGACCAAGCCCTAGTGGAATGACTCTTAGAAGCTGGCGTCATCTCCGTATCTTCGTCCACTGTCTCATGGACAAGTGTAGTTGCCGGGATATGTCGCAGGGTGGGAGCTGCCACAGGGGGTTCTGGGGTTATGCAACAATCGTTTGTCGGAGCAGGAGCGTTATCAATTGTTCCAGGACCTGATGCAGCTTGAGCGGCTGTATCTGGCTGACCTTCGATTGCCAATTGGGACTGAAAAGGCTCGGTAAGGATTACGTCACCGTCCTGTGGCTGCTTGTCTGTTTGTTCTTTATTCCCATCTTCCGTCTTGACCAGTATTGGCCGTGGATCGTCTAACACCTCCGTTGTCGCAAGCTCTTTGGAAGCCAGGGCATTTGGTTCTGAGAGAAGGTGATTGTTGGCGTGATGGCCAGAAATAGCTTGAGTAGACAGCACACCCTGATTCCCTTCTCTTGCTGCCTCAATAGATCCATGATCTGTTTGCTTCTGCCTCGTTTTCTTTGGGGCTAACTTTACAAACGGATCTTCTGTGGCAGCGGGTGAAGGTTCAAAGAGCTGTCTTGGTGAGGGCACAGCAAATGCATTTGCCTCAACCTGCACCAGCGACGGCCCGCCTTTGCCAAAAGCAGAGGATCTAGCTGTCGATGTCGGTAAACTTTTTGCAGTTTTGACAGTGGGTTTTCCAGTCCCAAGATCTTGAAGGGGGGTATTCGCTTCTTCCTTCTGGGCCATCATTGAGTCAACAACAGGGTCGTCCCTGGGTTGAATTTCGAGGTGCTGTTTTCCTTGTATGGCCTGACGCGGTGCCTGGTCGGCCCCCGAGGCCTCGGGCACAAGTGAGAGGTTTGGCATAACTACTTGGGCCCTATCATCAGAATATGTATCATCCAGAGTCGATTTGCTGCCGGAAACTCCGGGGAACTCGATGCGCTTCCGGACTGCTAGCTCTGGGGAAGCTTTCTCTTCTGTGATTAACGTCTCGGAAGCGTAGCCCATCTTTATATTCTTGTCATTCTGAAAATGCGGCGTAGTTGAGTCTTCCATCTGAGTAACTTCCTCAACTTGCTTTGATGATACGTTTGATTCGTCAGGCACAGCGGGGTGACAATTACTTCCGATCTCGGTTGCGGCTGTCATAGGCATTACCCCGTATGGTGGTTCTAGCCCCAGGAAGATATCACCCGACTTGACTGGTGCTGCTTTGTTATCAACCTTAGCCTGGTCAGTGGTTGGAAGCCCGGTTCCTGGCTGGGTTCCATCAGGATCGTTCAATATTGCATCAGCAAGCTTCGGCTGATTTTGAAATTCCTGTGGTCTTTGGGCATCTTCCAAGACTGAACAGTTTTTGTTGACATCGCTTAGTACGAAACGAGTAGTATCTGCATTCGGCTTCGGCTGCTTCTTCTGTTCTTTCTCTGGAAGTATGGCATTCTCATCACCTGGCCTGATACTGATAAGATCTTCGTGGAACAGCTCCGTCTGTGCACCGAGGAGAGAAACATCTAATGCTTTCTTTCTCGAATCAGGGGTATCTGTCGCTGCTCGCACAGTGACATCGTGCTGAGGTTCCGTTGACTTGAACAACTCCAGGTCCTTAAAGCTTGTGAGGGTGCCTGTGTGCATAGCTTCATCAGGCTCTTTGATAGGAACGACTCGTAGGCTAGAGTTTTCTTCTGTGTCCAAATGGGACCTGGGAACCCCAGCGGAATTATCAGCGTTACTGACTTCAGCCGAATCAAGGCTCATCGCTTGTTTGGGGGATTCTTGTGGAACTTCAGGTGCTGGATGGCCGATCATGGTTGGGGAGTGAACTGTTGATGGGGCGAATGAAACCGTACCATAGTTGTCCCAGGGCTTGCTGTCAATTTGATGCTTTTGAGCAAGCTCAGTAGAATGAAGGCACGCTTCGTGGTCCGCCTCAGCCCTAGTAGAATTGGTTGACTCATCGCTGTTGACGAAATTCTCGGCTGGAATAAGGGCAGGCTCATCGTGTTCCCCGGTTTCCTTGCTCTCCTCTGGCAACAGGTCAGATGCTAGAACTGGTGCCATTTCATCGTGGGCTTCTCCTGTTCCATGTTGTGACAGCATCTCTACCGCACATGTAGCGCTGTCAAGACCCACATGGATCTCTCGAGTATACCTGGACGAGTGCTCCAAATCTGGTGGTGCTTGGCTAGTGGGCTGCTCTGTCTTCATTTCTTGATTCGGCTTACTCAGTGGCGGTGATGATGGAATTGGCACGCCATCGCTTCCCGGCTCCTGTTTGTTTGCAATCTCAGGCAGTAGAGAACCATGAACGTCTTCCGGTTGATCTTTTCCAGAAAATACGGGTGTCTCTGCTATAGTTGGTGTCTTGGTCAAAGTATGAATTTCATCGTCCGTCTTTGTGTCGTTGCTCGGTTCCCTCTTAGTTTCCTGTAGAGGAGAAGGTCCAGTATCGTCATTCAGCGGCTTATGTTGATCTGATTCAGTCTCGCGGATTGATCGCGTCTCAGGTGCAAGTACTGCGTCTGCGAGAATGCCCTCGTGGATGCCATCATTGCGAACCTCGAAGGTCGTTTTCTTCCCAGTATGTTCTTTACTGGCAGATGTCCTTGACGCCTCCGGGTCTTCCGCAAGTTGTGCTCCACTACTGCCACTGACTGGTCCGAATTGAGATATAGGAGGGCTAGTTTCGGAAGCAGGTTCGGGCAGAGGTTTGCCAGTTGAATGAGTCGGTTCGAAAGAAGACTGAATGATTGGGTCGAGACCTATCTTTCTAAGCTTCTTTTTCATCTTCTTCCTGTCCTTGGAAGAAAAGGCCTCCCACTCCTCGACGGTAAACTCATTCTCAGCTTGCTGAACGCCTGAGGAACGAAGATGTTCATCGCCTGTGATGTCCATCACCTGGTTTGGAGAATCAGGCGAAATCGACGCTGGTATTGGTCGAGACCGTGGATGCGCCGTCGCAAGACCCTCGGCCACTTGGTTCTCATCGGCCTCATTGAGTTCGGAATCTTGGACGCCTACACCGTCCATTGCTTTGAGTGCACGATGAGAAATGGCAAGCTCATGAGATGGTTCAGAAGAAGGATCTTCCTGATGAGATTCGGAAGAGGCTTTTGTGGTGCTCTCCTTCGTAAATTGATCTTGTTCCTCATTTTCTATGTCGGCAGCAATCTGAAGAGGGATCGTTGATTGGAAATCTGCGACAGACACAGGGTGATCAGATACTCCCAAGCCTGCCCTTGGGTCGGACGTGGATGCAGCACTAATTACCAAGTCTGCCGGGGGATTCCCAGGTGTTATCAATTCATGAACGACTTCGAGGTTTGGAGCGATATCGACATCTGCGGGTTTGCTTGGCTCCTCCACCTGATCGACATCTTCATGGAGGGCCTCCTGCTTGTTCTTGTTCTTGTTCTTTTTCTTTTTCTTCGACATCTTTTTCTCCGCTGCGGACAAACTTTCGGGGGCCTCAGTCATGCCATGATCAGGGTCTGCTGAATTCTCTAAAAAAACAGAAGTAGCTGTAGGTGCTATCTCTGAACTGGATGCATCAGTAATCGCTTGAACGGTGAGCGAGATAGGTGGAGTTTGCGACTGTTCATGAGCCTGTTGAGAGGTTGAGTTTGGCCACTTGGGCCGGGCGGGAATGTCAGGATTTTCCAGACACTCAGACGCTTGTTCAGTGGTGTCCGGCGGTGGCGGGCGATCCTCGAAAGACTCTATGTCCAGGGGGGGTTGTTCAGCTGCCTTCGTTGCAATCTGCTGTGGTAAGGACGTGAAGATATCAGAGGCAACGGTAGCAGAAGCAGCTGTGTTTGTGACACCGAGTTCCCGGGTATGATCTGCTTCGCCTTCTTTGAGACCATATAGAGCATCAGTGTTTTCGCCGACGGAATCGAGGTCCGAATAGGAGTTTGCAGAAGCTCCAGGAAGCTGTTGTATAGACTGGATATTATTATCAGTCGCTTGTCCTGGTGCAATTTCATCCTCAGATCCGACAGGCGCGTCTGTCAATACATGCTCATTTGACGAAGGAGATTCGAGCACCGTGGAAGCAGCAGCTTCCTCAGATAGGCTGACACGTGTGCTGTCTGTCGTATCATTCTTCATTTCGAAAGAGGGCGGAGGATCTTGGATGAGCTTTGCCGTGAAATTCGGCTTGGTTGCGACATCGGCCTTTTTTCCCGCCTCAAATTTTGAACCACAGACCTCAATCGTATCAACACAATCTTTGAGTGTCTGTCTCGGCCCAACCCAAGAACCTAATGAGGCATCGATTCCCACCACGCTCTTCTGCTCCATTGCACTGTTAGTAATTGGGCCTTTACCAAGATTAGCGACTTGATCCTCAGGATCAACCTCCGGCACAGGAACAATGGCATCTTGTCCAGGGGCTGTCTGCTCAGATTCAAGTTGGGATCCCTGAATGGCGGCATCAGCTTCAGGCTTGGCAATGGCTTGTCCAGTCGGAGAGTGAATATTGGTGTTGTCCAGAGATTGAGTCTCATTTTTGGACTCAGATTCAGCTTCAATGACGGGCTCAATTATAGGTACAATCTCCTCGATCTCCGGGAGTCCTTCTTTCTCATTCTTAAAGTCAGGCTCTGGATCTGCCTCGGTAGAGCTTGGAGCAACAGGTTCAGATTGAACCTGGGGCTTTAGTTCAGATTCCAATCCAGTTTCAGCCGATGGTTCCGATAGTGCCTCTGAAGAGGCACCGGTTTCCTTGGGCGTCTGTGTTTTGGGCGAGGAATCCAAGGCAGCCAGAGCCTTGACTTTCTTCAACTTCTTGATCTGTTTTTTTGACAAGCCTGCAAATTCCTTATTGTCTCCTAGTTCCTGTCCCGGTTCCGATTCTGGCTCCAGCTTCGTCCCAGACCCGAAATAGGCGTCAAGATCGCCAGCTATGCTCGTATCCTCCTCCCGTTTTGCACCCTCCGTAGATCCTTGGCTCTGTGCCTTATCCACGGCGGCGGCGGCGGCGTCCTGCTTTTCCGGATCCGGAATCATCTCCGGCTCCGTTGGACGGTTGGTCTCGGGGTCCTGCAGGATTTCAAAATCGTTGTCTTTAGCCTTCTTCTTTCGGTCGGTCTGGGATTGACTGAGGCTTAACCCACCCCGCTCGTCTTCAGGACCAGCTGGTTCTTCGCTTGGAAGCTCTCCAGAATTACCGGTATCTGGTACATTGATATGGTCGACTGGAGGAGTCATTTTATCCTCCAAAGGAACGGCTCTGTCAAGTGTCTCGTTTTCATCGGTCTGCTTAGGGGTCTCATCGTGCGCGGCTTGAGGATTTTCGGCTGGGACATTGATTCCAGTATCGACCGAAACGCTAGCATCCTGAGAAGAGGTAGCAAGGCCAGCCTCAGCTTCAGTTTCCTGGGTTTCTTCAAGAGCAGCTTTCCTCTTTTCGGCCTTTTTCTTCTTCTTCTTGTCCTTCTTTGACAGTTTCGCCGGTGAATCGGGTTCCTCGACTTCGGGAGGACTTTCGGAGGGAGGCTCATCGGGTGCTACAATATCAGGTTTGTCGGTGGCTGGTGTTGGTTCCTGGACAGAAGGGGTTTCTACGGTGGTCTTGGCATCAGCTGGCTGTGTCTGCTCTTCATCTATTGGGGTAGTCTCGACAGTGTTTATCACTTCCGACTCCATGGGAGGCGACGGCTCATCTTGATGGACAGGCGTTTCTGTAAGTTCAATACCACTTGATTCTGCAGTCTGGGCAACGTCGGACTTTGCTTCTTGCGAAGCGGAGTCCTTGGCTGTATCAGAGATCAAGTCTTTGGAAGTTGACTCGGGAGGTTCTTGGAGTGTGGTTTCGGCTTCAGTCTGCTTCTCCGGCTCGTCAGAAGAAGCAGTCTTCTTCTTTTTCTTCTTTTTCTTGCTCTTCTTATCGGGTGGTGTCTCTAGCTCGGCCTCTTCCACAATAGCAGCCGAATTTGCTTCAGGGTCGCCCTCAATGGCCGTACTCTCATTTGCAAGCTCCAAGGGGTGATTCACAGGAGGTATGTCAGGCTGTTCGGCATCCTCTGATCGCACTTCATTCGACACCTCCTGGGCAACTAGCTCAGCAACCTGTACTTCGTTGAGGCTGGCTGTAGATTCATCGAGGCGCAAGGGCTCGGATGCTATGACAGGCGGTTCGCTGTTCTGTGTTGCTGCACCTTGACCTTCCTCGTTCTCAACAACAGATATTGATTTCTTCTTCTTCTTTTTCTTTGACTTCTTAGTGCTCGCCAGCTCTGAAGTGTTGCCTTCAGGAGCTTCTATAGCATCTTGAGGCTCAGTAGTCACAGCCGTGTCAATAACATCAATGTTTTCCTCGGTCCCTTCTACGGCCGGCAGGGCCATTGCCGCCTCGGTGGTCTCGGTCGGTTGTCCAAAATCTCGAGCCTCGCTTTCAGTCGAAACTTCGCTGGCACGGACTTCAACGACATCAGGAGGCGTGGTGGTAGGCACTTCCTCACTTGAATGTTGTTTATCATCATCCAGAGTGCCCTCAGCCTTCTTTGATGTGTCGATTGTTTCAGACTCTTGTTGGAAACCTTCAGTATTGCTGATGTCCACCGGTTTCTCGGAAACTGGCTCTCGGACTTCAGGGACGACTGATGCCGCTAACCTTTGAGCGGCACTCTCTTCAAGAGCAGCAAGACGTACTTGATCCTTCTTCAAAAGTCGCCCTTTCCTCCTCACTCTCTTCTCGAGGAGAGCTTCGATCTCTGCCTTCTCGCTCTCCGCCTCCAAGTTCCCAACTGCGAGAGAGGGTTCTTCCTTGGCAGCTTCCACTCCCAGAGGATGAGCATCTGGTCTCCTTGGAGGCAGGGCTTCCTCAAGAGGAAGTTGAAGGGAAGCATCATCTGTAGCTAGTGGTAGCTCATCTAGTGAATGTTCATTCACTGGCTTCTCACTCTGTGTTTCGCTTCTTGTTTCGGGCCCAGCTGACACGTCTGCTGTTTGTGGTTCATCCCTGATCCCAAGAACAGTTGAGTTGCCAAATGCGGGTGTCTGTTCTTCGGTATCGGGCCCTATTGGGAGATCGGTCTGCGATCGTTCCTTGAAGACAACTTCGGACGATTCATCACCGATTTGGGGCTGTTCTTCAGCTTCAGGCTGAGATAGCTGGCCATCGGCTTGGAGCTGTTCTTTCAGCTCGGATTTAGTTGGTTCATCACTGATGTGCGCCATTCCTTCGACTTTAGGCTCAACTGGCTCTTTTTCGATCCCAGATTGATCTGGAACGTGATGCTCGGCTGAGTGGTCAACAATCTGTGATCGTTCTTCGATTCCAGGTTCAGCCGGCTCAGCGTCACTTGGCAGCCTTTCCTTGGGCCCATGCTTAGACAACTGATCACTAGTCTGCAACCGCTCGCTGGTCTGCGGTCCCACTGAAGCAGTATCCAAGGATGATTGCTGTTGCGATTGGTTCTCAGCTGGCCTATCGTCAAGCTGTGGTTGGTCCTTAACTCCTGATTCGTCCAGTACGCCATGTGTCGACTCATCATCAGGCTTCTGGTCGGGGAAAGCATTTTCAACAATAGAGTCAGAAGATTCAGCCATGGGATCTGGCACCAGAATATCAAGATTCTTTCTGGCAGACACTACTGCTGTTTCGGCACCTGATACATCCTGGCTGATTTCAACGTGCGTATTAGTGTCTTTTGTCTCTTTCTCGGGAGCCTCATCCTGGCTAGGTTGGTTCTTCTTTTTCTTCTTGTTTTTCTTGGCCTTCTTCTTCAATGCCGTTGCGTCAGCCTCGGTTGTTTCGCCAATTGCTTCCACACTCGACTTCACACTCTCTCCGCCAGTTGTCTTGCTGACATCTTCTTTGATCACTTCTTCAGTGCTGGCTTCAACGGGCTTTGTGCTCAATTCTGAGCCTGCTTCCACAAGCCTCACATCCTCATCCTCGACTGGAACAATAGGCTCTTCTTTGATAAGCTGACCAAGATCAGCCTGATCTGCTATTGTTGAATGCTTGTACGTAGCCTCAGTAGATTCATGTACTGGGGGCTTAACATTATCAGCCATAGTTATCGTCGAGGAATCCTCTTGTTTGATTTCGTCAGACTTGATTTCAGTAGAAGCGGTTGCCTCCACCACGTTTGTTGCCGGATGACCTATGACATTATCTTGTAACGTTTCGGCGGAGTCCTCCTCAACAGCTGAGATCGGGACTGTCTCGGTGAGTTGTCTGTCCGTGGTGGTAGTCACTTCATCCTCGGCAAGGATGTCACGGTTAGCATCCCCTGTAGCCTTGACTGATTCGTCAACTTGGGAAGAATCCAGTCCATAAGAAGTTCCTTGAGACTCGTCTGCCGGCGCATCTCCTTGCGAGAAGAGTGGTTCAGAAATCTGGGGCTCCAATAATATGGTGCGACCCGCTTTGTTGGCATGCGTATCGGGAGCGGTATCAGCAACGGAAAGGTCTGGCTCAACATCGGCAACTTCTGGGTTTCCAGCTCTTAAGCTAGTAGTCTTTTTATCTCTGGGAGCGTCATGATCAAGTTTCGGTGTAATAATATCAGACCTGGTGCCTGTTGTCGCTGACTCATCAGCACTTACTGCAACAGGCTGGGTCTGAGCATCAGGTTCAGGTTCACTCGATTTATTTTGTGTCTGCGCTTGGTCCCGGAATCCCCACATCCTCTTGAAAGCGGAAATTCCAGCCGTAGAGGGGAGTGCCCGAAGAGCTGATGGGAAGTATCCTTGACTTTGTCTGTCTTTCCGTGCATCTTTGGCGGAAGTCTGGGAATCACGAGCGGTCGCATGATAGTCGACATCATCTTTGGACTCAGGGTCATCAGCCTCGGGAGCCTCAACCGGAGAAGTCTTTCCACGATCGGGAACTTGATCAGTATCCTTTGATGACAAAACAAGCTGTGTGTCCGAGGCCTCGTTGTCTTGAGTAACATCGGTGGGCTCAGCTACCACAACTGGCGGCTCTTCCATCGAGCTTCTGTTGATACCCTCAACCGCTTCATTGCGCCCAGCGTACTCAGCTTGAAGAGGCTCCTCTATTTGAGGTATCTCTTGTTTCTCTGCCACTAGCTCATCATCGGCTCTGGCGCCCTTCTTCTTCTTTTTCTTCTTCTTTGACTTGGGCGTAGCGGCGCTGTCATCCTGTGTTAATACTATGGGCGATTCGGAAGCCGGGTTGAAGGTTTCTGTAGATTTATCCGGTGTCTTCTCTAGAGCATCTACACTTTGAGCCTTGGTATCTGGTTGGGCCCAGGCATCGAATGCATCTGCATCGACAGGCTCAACAGTGACCTCTGGAAGTGGTTCCGCCATAGAACCTGAGTCACCATGGGCAACTTTTTCAAATGATTCAGCAGAGTGTTCAATAGGCGCGACTGGCTCCGTCCAAGCATCAAACGCATCTTTTTCAGCTTCAGGAATTTCAGCTAGACCTGTGCCTTCAACCTCGGTGACTGTTGGCTCTACAGAAATTGCTTCCTCTTCAAATGGCTGCTGCATCTTGCTCTCCTTCTTTTTCTTCTTGCTCTCGGATGCAGACACCAGTTGCTCTTCAAGGGCTGTTTCTGCGATAGGTGAAGCAGTGATGGAGGTCGATTCCGCGGTAGTTTGAGCATTGGCAGAAGATTCGATTACGGGCTCAGGCTCTATTAGTGGTACCACAGATTCGGTGGCGTTATCGAGCCCTCTTGAGGACTCTTCCGCTTCCCGGTCCGCCAATAAGTTCGAATCAACTGGCTTATTTTGCTCAACGACTTCCTGAGCCTCTTCAGACTGTGCGATCTTATGCTTTTCCTCATGTGAGACCTCAAGCTCTTGGAGCTTCGCGGTTTCAGTGGCGAAAGGGACGGTAGAAGGATCCTGAGAGGATTGAGGTGTAGATTGGGTGGGTTCGAGTTCAACCATAGCCGGTTTTGTTTCAGAAGCTTCATTCACTACGACACCCTCGTCGCCTAGGACGGCATTGTCATCCTGGCTAGCAGCGGGGACAGGAACGTTGAATGAGTCTTGAACGATGAGCTCAAGGCCCTTCTTCTTAAGCTTCTTCTTTATGTTTTTCCTATCCTTTGCGTTCATGGTTGACCACTCATCGGTGGTAATCTCATTTTCTGGACGCTGGGCAACGGCGTCCCCAGGCTCGACGAACGGTGTTTGCGAGTCTTGAGTAGCAGGGTCCGTATGGATAACAACAGCTGATATTGATTGAGGCTCGGCAATACGGTTGGTTGTCCCGGTATTGATGTGGCGAGGAGCATCACTAGTTTCCTTTTCTTCCATAGGCTGGGCGGTGGACTTTGTAGTGGAATCACTTACTGAAACTGCTTCAACAATGGAATCCGGGACAAATGTGCTGTCCGGCGCTCTGGTGATTTCAGTGCTTTCATCAGTAGGGTCGATAGCAGTTTTGCCGTTCTGGCCATTGAAAGGCTCAGTTATCTCAGGGCCGGCTTCCTCAATTGCTTGTGTCGAAAGTTCTGGAGACAGGGCTGTGACATCCTCAACTGCGGACCCAACTGCGAGTCCTCCAGTGCTATCCTCTACCAAAAAGTCTGCTAGAATAGGCTCGAGGACTTCGGCATTCGCACCAGCGGTTTCATCTTTTTCGGGAGTTACAGGCTGCTTGAATGTAGCAACCTCGGCGGAAGTTGTAGAATAACTAGGCGCAATCTCACTCGTGGCTTCATTGATAGGCTCAACAGCGGGCTCAACAGCGGGCTCAGCAGCGGGCTTAGCGGCAGGCTCAGCGACAGACTCGAAAACAGCTTCTCCTGGTGACTTTTGCTCTGTGCGACCCCCAAGAGCGTCCAAGAGATGTTCATCAGCAGAAGTAAGGTCATCTGGTTTGTCTGCAGGTAAGTGAGTTCGTTGCTGGCCTTCCAAGAGACTATGAGAAGCTAAGGCTGTAGGAACAGCTATAGCAGAAGCCTCAAAGGGCAACGGTGCAGCAGAGACACCGGTTTCCGTTTCCTTGCTGGTGACTTCCGCAGACATCGGGAGATAGGTCGTCGGTTCCTTTTCATGCTCTCTGGCACTGCCAGGGGAGAGAGGGCCCGGGAGCATAGGCATAAACTCCGCGCGAGGCGTTGTTTCCTGAGATCCTGCGACAGAGTCCTTAGGATGCTGCTCCGATAGCTCAGTATCAACACGAAGATCAGGGCCGGTAATATCAAGACCAGAGCCGAAATAATCGTCACTATGTTTGAGGAACTCGGATTCAGGTGAGTTCCTTGCAGAAGTCTCGCTAGGTTCACTCGGTGGGAGCGCAGGCAGCACTGAGCCAGTAGTTGGTTGTTGGTGTCGTGAGTGTTCAAGAAGATACAGGGGCATGATTTCCCGACTGTTGTCCCAGGATGTTGGCCGAGCTGCTCGCCTTGACATGACCACGGCATCCGAATGAGATGTTACAGGGGAACTGGCAGGGGACGCCTTGAAGCTAACAGGAGAGGCGGGGTTTGACCTATTGCCCAAACGAAGGGCGATAGGAACAGCAGTTCGGCTGGGTGATTTTGTGGGCGTGTCAAAAACGCTACGACGTCGCTGATGGGTACGTGAATCTCGCCGAATGATACGCTCCTCTGGGGGTGTGTCAGGCCTGCTGTCGGGAAGAGGGGGTAGTTCCTCCGGACCAGAAGAAGGGCTAGTTGGTTCGCTGGGAGGTAGAGGAAGGAGGTCGCCATATTGAGGGTCAATGGCTGGTTTGATAACGCGGGGCACGACTTCGGGGTCAACCAGTTCGAAGCTGCGCGCACGAGGCCGGCCATCACGAGAGACAGAATTCTCGTGATCCGATGAGGTCTCAGCGGCGTTGGAACGAGCAGCATCAGACGCAACAATGGCCGCTGCACTCGCTAAGCCGACACCCGCGCCAAGGGTGCCGGCATTATCTAAAAAAGAATCCTTCTTATCCTTGCGTGATTTGAAGAGGCTAGAAAGAACACTGTTGCTTGGTCGCTTCTCCGGGGTTCTGCGTTCTTTGTACTCCTTGTCCCGGCGAGATGAGCCAGGCATGGATGCAACTGATTTCGCGTCATCATCATCATCGTAACGCGAAGACTTGCGTCTATGTCCACTCTCGCGCCGACGGTCATCTCCACGTGACTCAGATACAACAGAGCTAACATCTCGGTCGTCGAAGAAGTCACGTCTTCGATCCGATGGGCTCTCTGTGCTATCGTCGAAATCCTCATCGGCTCCACTCCTTCGTTTCGACCTCTTGCTTCTCTTGCTGCTTGAACTACCAACAGAGATTTCGGAGGCAGCTAATGACCGAGTTGGGGAGTCATTGCTGTAGGTGTGGCGCTTCGATCTTTTTGGCCGCTCATCGTCATCAGGCCTTCTGTGGTGAGATCGATCTCGGGATCGATCTCTTGTTCTATCCCGTGACCTGTCTCTGGACCTTTCTCTAGACCTATGATCTCTTGAACGATCTCTTGTTCTATCACGTGACCTATCTCTGGACCTTTCTCTAGACCTATGATCTCTTGAACGATCTCGAGATGCTCCTCGTCTTGCAGACCGTCGATCAGTGGGGTCCAGTGTAGAGGAATCTCGATGTCTGGTATCGTCGCGAGCATCGCGGTCCTTCCTGTGTTTGCTTGAACGCCTGTGATCTTCTCGCTCATCGTCTGAACGAACGTCTCGGGACGACATGTCTCGAGATGAATGGCGATGGTGCGAAGGCTTCACAGGGGCGGAGACGCGAGATCTGTCGTCACCATAGTAGTAATCGTCGTGATTCCAAGGCATGTGCGACTTCCCGGGAGCGTCTTGCTCGTCTTCAGAGCGAACGTCATGGATGGGTGTTTTTCTTGAACTTGAGGACGCAAGCGCACCCAAGGCGAGAGCTGGCACAGCCACCTTGGCGATATCCGCGGCGTTGAAGCTCTGGATGCGATCGTATTCTGAAAGGTTATTCCTTGGTTCAGATTCATGCTCAGATCTGGTGTCTCTGACTGGTGCGTCACTTGCGTAGTGATTGGTAGAAGAAATACTTGGGCTCATATCATCGGAATCGCGACCCTTACGATCCTTCTTCCCTCTCTTGCGCGTGGTATCTTCCCATACCTCTTCAACGACTTCCCTTGAAGGTGACGGCTCCGCTTTGATGCTCTCAATCTTTCCATCATTCTGAACAACGACAACATTGGACTTGTCTCGCTTGCGTGATTCTCGCTTGCTCGACTTCGAAGTTTCAGAGCTGTCTTGAGGAAGTGGCACGTCTTCGGGTTTTAGCGACTCGGGCTTGATGCCGCGTTCGCCTTCATGACGAATGAAAGGCGTTTCCTGAGGGGTCTCAACTTCTCCGAGAACAAACCCTTGTTCGGGGAGAAGTTTTGGGATGTTATCATTTCTGGGCTCGGGAATAGCCTCAGCGGAAGGTCGCTTGTACCAGGAATTGCCATTTGTGCTGCCATGAGAATCACCGTTTGCCTCTTGGACACCTGGGGGAGAATCACGCCGACTGTAAGAGGGGTCATCAATGACAATGTCGGGGTTGAAGCCAGTATCCTTCAGGCCCGCAGCAAGAGTAGCAGCAAACTCAAAGTCGTCTGTAAAGCCGCCAGGCATCTGTTGAGGATGTGGGCTTGGAGGTTTAGGTCCAGGGATGGGAGGTTCGTGCATCGTGTCGTCACCGAAAACGTCTTCAACCCGGTGAACAGGGACATCCTTGCTTGCTTCATCCGGAAAGCTTCTAGGGATATCTGAGGTTTTGGATGACACTACGAAATCAGGTTCGCTGTGTGGCTCGGCACTGCTACCAGCCAGTGCCGCGGCAAGAATACCCCAGCGACTGGCCTTGTTTAGCTTCGGCCTAGGCTTGTCGGTCGATTTATCAGTAGGGAAGTAATTGTCGGAATCACTTCGGTTCTCTGGTGTGTCTACTTCAAAGCTCTTCGTCTCGTTCTCACCCCAGCTGACAGATTTGGGAACAGACACGAGTTCGCTAGCAGAGATGATCTCACCCTTAGGTCCAATGCTGACATCGTCATGTGTGGGTTCCTCATCATCCGCCTGCCTTACACCTTGTGCTTGAGGAGCTGGCGTGTGTTGGCGACTTGTGGCAGGAGTAGGATATATCAGATTGAGGACGGGACGCTCTCGTGAAGGATCTCTTGACCTCAGGACAAGAGCAGAAGAATTGTCACTCAGGTTTCGGAAATGGCGTTCTTCTCGGGGGTATATCTTGTTATCAATCTTCACATCTGCATCTGGTCCATCAAAAATGTTGTTATCCGGGTGCTTGTCCTCCATGATCGGCGGTGTGACAATTGTGAATGGATCATTCTTATCTTCTTGCCACTTGTCGACGACAGATCGCTCAGGGGATGCACTTCGAGATCGAAGTTCGTCGGAAGCAATTTTTCGGGCGATGCAGGCCTCACGATAGAACCTGTCAGCCTCCTCCTGCACAGTATCTTTACGACCTCTTGAGCTATCTTGAGACCTATTGTTTGGATAGTGATGTTGTCCATGCTCTTGAGACCGCTCAAGTTCGACTGCAACGGCGGATGCTATTGCGGCAGCTGCAACAGGAATTGTGGCATGTTTGGCCTCATCAAGAATAGATCTGGCCTTTCGCTCGTCCTCTGCGAACTCATGACTGGCTTGAGTATCGCGACGTTGTGGTGGATCGTGAGTCTCCCGACGGTACTCGTCAACCATACGCTCAATCTCAAACGAGTCTCGTCGGCTTAACCGAGCGTCGACTGCTGAAGAACTTGGCGGCGAGTCGTCAAAATTAGGCTCGCGCTCAATGGTGACAACATTAGGTGTAAGGGGGCGCCCAGGTGTTGTTCTTTGAGACACAGTAAACGCATCGTCCGCAACTTGGTACTGGAAGGGATCAATGGTCTCATGCACAGGTTGAGTTGAGTCGCTTGGAGGGCGATGGCCAGCACCGACAGGTAGAGGAAGGTCACGGCCATCTTGAGTCGCATCACGCTCGCTGTTGTCAGCTTGGACAACAGGTTCACGCAACACTTTAAAATCCGGCCCCGACTCAATGAGGAATGCTTCAACTCCGCCCTGATCCCTTTGAGGCACATCTACAACACCAACATTCTTCTTCTCCATCCTATCCGTGGGGGTATCATCATGATCATATCGTCGTGAAGATTTTCGCTCGTCATTATACTTGGGAAAGATAGGCTCGGGATCCGATCCACGGTAGTCACGCTCCCATTTCACATTTCGTTCACGCTCGTCCTCCAATGTTTCATGTCGCTGGGTATGGTGGGCTAGGCGTTGTTCCAGGTCGAGCCTCTGACGTTCTGAATCTTGGACTTTTTGCCGTTCCAGCTCTTGGGCCTTTTGATGCTCTAGCTCTTTGAGTTTCTGCTCCTCTGCTTCTAGGGCTTTCTGGCGCTCTAGGTCGATGCGCTTTTGCTCACGGCGGTCTCGGTCAGCACGATCATGCTTCCTCCCATCACGATTCTCAGAATTGTCCTTTCGCGAGGATGCTGAAGATGCCACAGCCGTACCGACCGCTACTGCTGCGAGACCTGTCGTAGCAACTCCTGCCCAGCTCTTTCCATCGGGCTGCTCGGATTTGCGCTGCCGGGGTTCCCTGCGGTTTATGTCATCAAATTTTTCGGCATTATAAACTTTTGATGAAACCGCCTGCTTGGGAACTGGCTGTTGCAGGGGAACCGGTGCGGGTCGAGTCGACGAGTCCTGGCGCTTATCGGACGTTGGGAACTGGCCTCTGTCGAATCGGTAGGGATCAGAGATGCGGACGGGATACACATCTCGCATCTGAATTGGTCCACCAGTTTCTAGGCTAGCAGAATCACGACGGTATGCAGCAGCCTGTTCTTCATCCTGGAAGCCACATGGAGTATTAATTGAGCCTCGAAGAGAGTTGTAGGGGCCAAAGAGGCGAGGGTCAACGATAGAACCCCGGTCTCCATATCGCCGAGGGTCAAACACCAGGCTTTGACCTGAGGGCTTTCTAGAGCTAGCCATAGCGGTTGTGGCTACTGCGGTTCCTGCAGCCGCTGCGGCACCGGCTGCGGGCTTGATAGATTCGCCGACTATGCCATATGCAAGTTCTGAGTCAGCGGCTGAGCCAGCGTCATCACTACTAGACGACTCATTGTCAGAGGCATCCTCCCAGTCTGAGTCATCATCCGAAGTGTCGACGCGTTGCTTTGAGCTACCCAACCCCCGTGAGCCGTGTTTCTGCCGGCCATAACTAGATGCCATAGCGGCGCCGGCTGCAAGTCCCAGAGCAGCCGCCTTACCCTTACCTGATCCTCGGCTGGATAGGCGTTGCTCGTCTTCCTTGGACCGCCGCGCTAAGTCAGAGAGTTGCTGGCCAAGGGCCATTATCTCTTCATCGGCGGTCTTCTTCCGAGGCGTGGGTCGCGATGCACGATCAGAGCCCCCTGAACTGCGCCGCCGATGTTCTTGACTCGGTCCATGACCTGGAGAAAAGGCATAGCCTTGGCCAGAGGCACGGCTTTGGCTTCGGGGGCTCAGTGTACGGCTTTTTGGTTGCCGGACGTATCCCTGTCCGTAGGCTAGGTCAGAGTTCACAGAAGATGATGATGAGTTGCCAAAGTAAAGCACGCGACGCTTCTGTTTCTTCTTTCTGTGGAGACGCTGTTTGACCCGGTCCGAAGGCGCCTTAAAAAATGTGCCAAAAACACCACCAAACTGTTTCGTGTCCTTGTATCGCGAGATATCTAGTAGTGATGTCGATGTGTCACTTGCGGACGAAAAAACACTTGAAGGTGTCTGAGGTCGTTGTGAATTATTCTGTGGTTGTTGATAAGGGTTATTATATCCCGGCACCGGCTGAGGCGGCGCGCTGGAGTAGCGTTGCGATTGTTGATATTGCTGGGGAGGTGGTGGAAATTGCGAATACTGCGGTGACTGTTGATACATAGGGGACTGTTCATAACGTTGAGGGTCATATGCTCGTTGCTGAGAGTGTTGTTGATACATTTGCGGGATGGGTTGTTGGGTTTGTTGTGATTGTTGTTGCGATGGCTGCGATGATTGCTGACGCGAATCTCGCTGATCTCTCGGATCGCGGTCGCGAGACTCGTACCACCGGCGGCGAGATCCCTCGGGGTCCCGAGAGCGATTGTCTCGCTGCATTGCGCCGGTTTACGGTCTACCAGCGTTGCGAGATTGGTCGATGGGGTTCTTGAGTGTGATGTTTTGATGGTGTTTTGTTTTCGGGAGCTCGTTGCCAGCTTTCATGGGGCCCGTCCGCCGCGGCCCGCAAAACAGGCGGTGGCTGGGGTCGCACGTCGTTGGTCAAGCTGAAATAGAATAGGTGGGTATTGTTGCGGGTCTTAGATTTGATCTAGCCTTCTAAGCTGAGCGATGAGCCATTTGCTGTGTGGGAGGAGGCGTGGGCGCTAATTCTCAAATCTTGACTTATACATACACTTGAGGCTTAGGCGAGTATTACCGGATCTAAATGGGCACGTTGTAAGAGACAACTCTCAGGTTTGTCACACTCGGCCTGATATCGTGGGCGTTTGGCTTTAATTAAAGTGCTTCGACAATCTGGATACCTCATTCAGGCCGCCACACATTGGCTAGCGCCGTCGTAATATCCACACCGTAGATCCATTGCCAGCTGGCAGTCATATGCAGTCACACATGCAGACGGCGTCGGTTCTTACAGGCCACAAGGTGGAGCCTACCCTGTACAGTATCGAAAAGCAAGGATTTATTTTGTTGATTGTCTCACAGTGCCGGCCTCGTATTGCAACGCTACCTCATTGGATAAGAATGTCAATATGAGCAAGGTCCCCTTTTCTACAAGCTACAGCGGGCAGAACTAACAAGAAATTGGTAGGAATGTTCGTAGAATAGTGTACCGGCGAGCCGTCCCCTCCCTCCCCGCTAGCCAAGACAAGCTCCAACATGTGAACGGCTCGATAATCGCATCCACACACCCACCTCGCGAATCTCCCGACTTACACACACCATCTCACGCAATATCGCCCATGTAACATAATCTATAGGTAGGTAGTGTGAATGTAAATCGAGCTTTGTAATGTACACCGAATTTCTGACCCATAGTCGCCAAACAAACAGACCCGTATTATATCAGTAGCCGCTCACTGTTTTGATATTAACATGCATACCTTTCGCGGGCCGGGCCGTTATACCGCCTCGAATTTCCACTTTCTTCTCATCCATCTCCTCAGGGTTCGCAAGGGTGAACTCAAAGCGGCCAATCCATGCCGCGAGCAAACATGCGAACTCTGCTCTTGCGAAACTGGATCCAATGCAACTCCGTGGGCCATGCAAGAAAGTCAGGAACGCGTAGTTGCTGCTCGCTCCGCCACTCGCTGCTTTGCGGTCGGCGGAACCACTCTCTCCACCCGATGGGAGCCACCGCTCTGGCTTGAATTGACCCGCATCCTGGCCCCAGAGCTCAGTATCAAAATGAGTAGCCCACGGTACAATGACAACGCGTGTGCCGCGGGGGATTGGATGGCCGAGAATGGTGGTATCGTAGGCGGCATCGCGCATTGTTAAAGGGACAGGGGCATAATATCGTAGAACCTCGCTGCACACTGCATTCAAGTATGGCATGCGGTCTATGTCGAGGCTGGTAATATCGACGTCCGAATCCACAGAGGGAAGATGTTCGCGTACTTCGTCCCGTAGCCTGCTCTGAATATCGGAATGCTTCGAGAGCATATATATTGCCCAGGTCATCGCCGATGCTGTTGTCTCATGCCCTGCAGCGAGGAATGTCATGAGTTGGTCAACCAGGTTTTCGTCAGTGAAGCCACCACTTTTAAGAGCGACCGATAGTATATCAACATCGGCTTGCTCCTTATTGGCAATTTTTGCCTTCTTCTCACGGATAAGATCTCGACAGACGGCCCGAATGTCGGTGGCCGCTTTAGCAATATCCTCGTTTCGACGGAAAGGTAGCTTTGTGATGAATTGCATGGGAATAATCATGCCAATAAAAGCGAGGACCTGAGCCTGGCGTGAAGGCTTGAATATCTGCTTGTATGTTTGAGCAAGAGTGTTTTGAGGGTCTTGAATGGCGCCAAAGTCCCGACCCATCCCAGCGAGACCAATAATATCGAGTGTGGCTCGTGATGCCCAACTAGATATTTCGACATGAGCCTCTCCCTCGCCACCGAAATCTGCCATCATGGTGCGTGTCACTTCCCTGGCCTTGCTCCAGAAGACTGGGTACAAATTCTTGATGTGACGAAAGGCGAATGCAGGTGTCAAGCTGCGGCGCTGCATCTTGTGCTCCTCCCCCTCTGCAAGCAAGATGCCGATTCCAAGAATACGACCAATGGACCATCGAAAATGAGAGGGCTTCGGGAAAGCATAACTGTTGGTACTAAGTACCTCAGCCAAAGCTTTGGGTGAGCAGACCATCACTCTCTCTTGGTTGAAAAACCCACGATAGCAGAGTAGGCCATCGTTGGGAATCTCAGAAGCCCTAAACGCAATTGCTGATTAGTGGGTTTTCCGTCATTTCGAATTCGACACAAGAAATACGCCCACGAACCATTCTCGCATTGGAACACCTGAGGGTTCGGCCATGATTTTCTGCGCTTGACCCATGAACCAATGGTTACCGGAAGGTCCAGGAAGATGTCTTAAGGGAGACGCAAATAGAGGATATATCCATACTGTCCAGACGCCCCAGATAGCAAGGCTCGCAATCCAAAGCTCTGTGAAGCGTCCTAAGACCTGAAGTCTCACCCAGTTATTCTGTGCCCATGCGAGCGATATGGTACCTATAGCAGCAGTGGCTGTGATATGCTCCCATGGTAGCCCCATGATATTCGTGTTTAGATGAGAATGCAGAGAGAAGGAGAAATTTCAAGAGGCCAGATTATGAAACTTGGGTTAAACGTAGGTAAACACATGCAATGGTGACAGTTGCGCGTCCCAAGGGGTACAGTGACAGGGAAGGGTCTTATAAGCGATTCGTTTATCTTTAGCGTAGTGGGGAGGCCTAAACATCCAAAGGCTCCATGAGATACTCGAATCGTCAGAGATATATAAACGGACGCACCACACGGTCCGAGTCGGTCATCAACATTGCACCGTTCCAACGGCATCATCGATGCAACAAAAACTCCGACCGACCAACTCTTGATGCGGAGACATCAAGGCGCTAGTTCCATTCTAGTATAAGTTGCGGAGCTGGACGCTTCAGTGGAAATCCGATCGAGGAGATCAGCAGGCATTCTTGGCTCCGTCAACTGAGCAAGGGTCTTTGGGAGCGAACCATAGTACAACCCTTACTATGTAAAGTATCTCATTCGATATTATCGCTAATTCCGCTACAGTGATAGGTCGCCTACCTGTTGATAGCTGGATACGGAGTAGTGAATAATTCAGTCTCTTTGCAAGTGCCCCATCAAAACACTTCCCTTCCAATCAATTGTGGTATCAGCCAGAAACATACCAAAAATCCATTGATCTGGTGCGTTTTTAACCATGACCGTATCATCATACCCAACGCCAACCCGTGCCAAAAGGCCCCTGAACTCACATATTATACGAGTCCCGAATTCCATATCAAAAGTCCACCTATTGTGTTGCGACTGCGATCCCGTACCCCAAGGAGCCATTGGCCTGTGCGCGGCCGACTAGGTTATCGCATACGCATCTGTTCTCCATCGTTCTTTATCCCACCACCCTTTCTTCTAATTCTTTCGGGAGATCAAGTCAATATTATGTCACAAAATGGCACATCACCAGTTGCGGTTGCCGTGATATGTCATATCCGGTGCCGCTTCGTTGTTCCCCAGACCCTCAAGTGGGGAACTCGTCTGTGTTTGCAATGGGTTCCGAAGAGTCCTGAGATTCGAGTGTTGAACCTCATCCTCTTGCGTCGCATATAAAGGTGAGGTTGGCAACACTACTGGCGTCGCTCGAGTCGATGATTCGGTTTCAGCACTGTGACCCCGGGTCGTCGTCGACCCGTTGCTTGCGTTCCGGGTGGGTACACCTGTCCACTCTTGAATCTGTCTCTCTGTGAGACTACGTTCGGTTTGCTGCGGTATGGCTGATAGACTCGAGCCAGCCGTTACAGGCTGTGAGGATGTCGACGTTGCCTGGCTGCGATTTTCGGGCAAGGCCAAGCTGTCACGCGTGGATGAGCTGCCGTACCGGGTTCGAAGTCGACGGTGCTCGTGTTCACCTTCTCTAGGCGGCGGCCTTCCTTCTCCGGGTACTTGTGCAGAATGTCGAGGCGAGCCATTGTTCAGAGGATCTGCGGCTCCATACGTGGCCATAATTGCCCGTGCCAGAGCCTCATCAGGTTGACCACTTGCTGCCATCCTATTGCCCAAGTCAGATGATTGATCAAGCGGACAAGGTATTCGTGTTCCTCTTTCTTTCATTTTTGACTCACACTGGATGAATGCCCGCGCCTCTATTTCTCATGAAGCTTAGGAATGCGGTCGCGGACGAATTTGTCTGTGCCTTAAGCTCTGAATGTAGTCTATCTCGACAGTATGGGCAGCTATCCGAATCCTCGAACCACTTCTTGATGCAGTGGTCGCCAAAGACATGTCCACATTTCGGTAGACGGAGGGGAGCCTCTTTGATGCCTTCTGGAGTGTCAACACCATATTCGTTATAGCAAATTACACAACCTGAAACACGTTAGCTTCAATCAATTTCGATGAGCAGGGACGTTTTACTTCGGTCTGTCTCAGCTAAGTCCTCAAGCTTGACGCTCACGAGTGACTGGAGCGCCAGCTGGGAAGCCACCATCTTGGTCGTCAAAGAGCCTCTGACAAATTGCATCTGTCGGATCAAGGCCTCTTCTACCTCTGGCGATGACTCGGAACCATTCGGACTGTAGAGAACATGCTCGTGATGGCCATGATACCCGTCATCCTCGTTGTTGTCGTGTCCGGACTCCATCGACATTATGCGCCTGCGTTGTCGGGGGTGAGATCGACGAAACCCAGATGACGAAGGAGGAGGCCCTAAAGAATATAAGTATTAGCTTTTGGAAACATCCTCAGTCAACAACATCGCACGAACCAACAAATGATTCACGAATACACCAGCCTGCGAGACTGAACGGATATGTCGAGCAGGGCGGCGCTACTAGGAGAGACTTACTGGTAGGAGAGGGA